AGGCCCTCTTTCACTAGCTCTTTTTGCAAGCCTATCCTTCTCATTTGAGAATGTCGCGTCTTCTGCCTAAACGCATTTTTTTTTGAAATTGTCCAAATCTTACACCAAAGAAAAGCTGATGGCATTGACCCTCCAACGACCGATAACGTGTGCAAGAAGAACTCAGAATAGTGATTTGTATTCTAATTTATATTGTCTAAGCGTTGCAGTTAACCCATCTCAATGAGAATTTCTTGAGGGTTCGATTTTTATTGTTTCTTTTTCAGACGGAGGAATCACATCCCATTGTATGGCGACCCGAGATCGTCAAGAAGAAGGCCTATTGATTTTTTTCGTCTGGGAAACGACTTGTATTTATTGTGTTGTGAAATTCCGTTATTGTTGTCTGTTGGTGAAAGGACGTCGGTTTCACAATAAAACTTCAATTAACTGTTTTTTGGGTGTGTAAACAGTTTCTCTGTACATAATTATCTACAATTTTTGAGACTAAATTGTACCGGTCCCGTTTAAAGTTCCGTTCCATCAAGTAAATTATTTCACAGATGGCCAATCGCACAGTGAAGGATGCACACACAGTCAAAGGTGAGCTAGGGACTTTTTCTGGTTTTCTAGTAAACTTTTACTACATTAGGTTGTTCTATATATATTTTTTTCAACATTTTCTCTTTAAATGCCTTTGCGCTCGCTGCGCTTTTGATTCTTCCATTCTATTTTCTTCATAAAGAGTATATCGCATATGCTTTACAATGTTCTTTGTTTTCTTATCGTTTCTCTTTTCAACCTAATTCATTTCATTCATGAACTAGCGCATGCGTATTTTAATTTGATTCAAGCACGTATAGGCTCACTCCTACTATTAACCAGAGAAGCTTTTGAATGCGATCAGGAGCTCGACTTTTTTAATCGTCTCTTGGCAGAATCCCAATTGTTACTTTGCTCAGGAACGTGCTATAACAGTGCCTTCTTGATGCGGATCAGCGGTAATCAAGGATCATCTTATTTCCTAGGATTATGCAATTTATAGAAACTAAATTCTGCAGATAGTTGCTAAGACATCGAGTTTGTTATCGTAGATTGGGGCATTTCTGGGGGTACAGAGCTCCATGTACGCGATCCGTTTACGTAATGTAGGTACGCGTGACCAGCAAACTTGAAATTCGTGGTAATTTTTCGTTCACCTCTTTTAACCGAACTCGATGATAAGAGCGGTATTCCCTCGTACGCTCATGTGCTTATTTTGCTAGCCGCTCACGTGAATCCATTAGCATTTTATATCTTAAGCTGCAATGTTTGCTTTGGAATGACGCTTCTTGGCACTTATCGGAACTGTCACTCATACTTTTCTCCTCCATGGCCTTATTAAATTCCGTCATCTTTCGCTCTCTATGAAGCCTCGATGCGTTGTCGTATCTTTGTGGAACGCTTTCTCTCTCACCTGAACATTTTTTTGCTGTTCATTAGTACCTTATGTCGGTTGCTTGGTTGCTATAAATATAAGAACACATAGTCACGTGCCTGCCTAGCGCTTAGAGCAAAGGTGCCGCAGGTCTCTCCTGTGTCGTGTAATGCAACTGTCTCCATTCTTCGCTCTTTTTAGGAACAAATCCACAATTTCTTGTTGAGAAAATCATCCGCCAACGTATATACGACAGCAAGTACTGGAAAGAAAGTTGCTTCGCTCTAAGCGGTAAGTTTTAAGCTGAGTTTTCTCCTTTGTTTGCAGCACCAATGTTCCCGTTCTTCCGTATTTTCTCCTTTTTAGCCGATCTTATTGTGGACCGGGCCCTTGATCTTCGATACATTGGCGGTATATACGCAGGAAATGTCAAACCAACACCTTTTCTTTGTCTTGCTTTGAAAATGCTTCAGATCCAACCCGAAAAGGACATTATTATTGAATTCATACAGCAGGAGCAAAGCAAGTGAGTAGGTTTGATTCTTTGCATTTCTTTTCGAGCTGAGGCATAAGCACTTTTTCAGATATGCTCGAGCACTAGGTGCAATGTACCTTCGACTTACGTTCTCATCCGTAGAAATATACAAGTATCTTGAACCGCTTTTCAACGATTACCGAAAGCTCCGGTATATGAACAAGCTTGGAAGTAATTACTCATTTTAACTTTTTAACATCATTTTTTAACAACGTGCTACCAATCCTGTGCTGGTGTAACGCGTCTTTTTGTAGGATTTGAGTTGGTATATATGGACGAGTTTATCGATAACCTTTTGCGGGAAGAGCGATATTGTGACATACAACTTCCACGATTACAGGTGCTCATTGAACAATTCATGCCGTTTAGCTTTGAGCCTTCATTCTTTACGTGATTTTGCCGGCCCACGATGGTTCCAGTTTGTGTTTTTTCCATTTTTTTTGACTGTTCGTGATCCTCTGTTTTCAGAAACGACAAGCACTAGAAGATGCTGGTGAGTTGGAGCCGTACAGAAGTATTCTAGATGAAGATCTCGACGCGTTAAGCGCTTCAGATAGCGAAGATGAAAGGGAGAGGAAAGAGAAGAAAAAGGTGAACTTCGTCTTCCGTTTTCGTCCTGCCTTTTTCCAATTTTCATCGTTTAATCATGATTATAATTTTAGGAAAAACCGCGTTTGATATCAAGACGACGAAGCCGTAGTAGAGATCGCTCACGAGAACGTGAGAGAATGAGAGAGAAGTTGAGGGAACGTGAGCGCGAACGTGACGATAAGAGGAGAGAACGCTCTAGAGAAAGGGACAGGGATCGTGACAGAGACCGAGATCGTCATGAAAGAGATCGTCACGACAAGGATCGAGATCGTCGCAGAGACAGGTCACGGGATCGTGATCGTGATCGCGACAGGGAACGGGATAGAAGAGGTGGGCGCTTGGAATGCACACTTTCAATAGATTCGCTTAGAGTTACCTGGTGTATTCATGCAGAGGGAATAGTAATGCATGCTTTAAATAGTTCAGCTTGGAGCTTTACCTCTTTTTAAATTTTACTACCTGATATGCAATTATAACACGCAGTGGTAAGTTCCGGTACATTCAGATCGTGAACGTCCACGTCGTGATGAACGAGATCGTGACGATAGAGATCATCATAGAAGCAGAAAAAGTGCCAGAGATGACGATGAACGTGAAATCGAGGAAGCAAATGCTCTTCGAGCAAAACTTGGACTCAATCCGCTTGAACGATAGGTCAGTAGGGTTCTGTGTACAGTATTACGTGTCTCAGTCTCCATTTTGTTCTCAATGTACGAAGTGTTATTTGAAGCCACAAAAATCTTTCAGATCGTTAATTTATATGTAGTTACAGTACAATTTGTGGCAGAAAACCGTATTGTGTGTGTTTTTTTTTTCAATTTCGATGTATTTCGTTTTCAACGGCTCACGTCCAAAAGTCTCCTTGTTGAACACTTAGTTTTGGAAGAAAAACAATAATTTGGTCACTACTGGACAACATAGAAACTTCTGCTGCAATTTAAGTGATGACAGCGGAGGTCTGGGGGTTGTTTTCGGAATCGCCCATGAAAGGTAATATTGAGAAATTGTACAAATACCATTTTCGGTAAGGTGAGAGGAAACTTTGCTAGACTAGATGTTTCCCTGGCTAAATTTTGTGACTGATTAACTTGAAAGTATTGATCATCTTCATTTCCTTTTTCTTGTTTGGAGCTAATTGTTTTCGGAGTTGTTGATGATTGTTTTTTGGTATCATACATGCGATGATGATGCTTCTACTTCATAAATAAATGTTAAAACAGTTTTTTCTATTTTTATGGCGGAAATGTTGCCAACAGAATTACCTCAACCGCGCCTAAGAATGTGAAGGTGGGCGTGGTAAGCGGAAGTGGCATTGAGTGTCTAGCTACCCTCATTTTCTGGTCCATGGCTTCCACTCGTTCCGTCTACTCGGCTTTCCTTTCGAATTATAACTGAACATGGACTTGCTTAGCTCACGGTTGGATACTCCTTTCAATAGCAGTGGGGTACGGATATCCAATTCCGGAGCAACTCGTTGTGCCAGCTGTACGATGCGAGCCTCATTTGGTAGTGGCGAAGCGGCCTACTCACGTATGGTCTCCAAGTCCAGTACTAAACTGCTGAATTCGCTTTGGGATAAGGTGAACATTCAGAATTGTTTATAGTTTTCGATATCTTGTTTACTTGTTTCTAGCTATTCGGTGTGTGACNNNGCATAAGCCTATTGACTGCCAACTATAATGGTCGTGGCGGGCCAACAATTACGTGATTTCGTGTTGGCATGTGTTGGCATATGCTTTTCGAAATTTCGCTCCACATACCCTTCACAACCTACCTACTTGAAATTCGGGCTGGATCTTTTCGTATCGTCTACGCCGCTGAATTCGTCGGAGACTTGGCAGAGGTTCCACCGATTAAAAATGAGGCCATAGTAGACATGGGGTTGGAACTTCTTGACGCCCAGGCGCAGATGTTAGGAAACCCATCGACCTCAGCTGGTGCCAGTAACTTCTCCATCCCTTTCTGCCGCGAGCCAGAGTAGGGACACGGGGCCCTCGAGCGCGGTCGATCCACTGGACTGACGTTCCTTCCGTTCAGAGCTTTCTTGGAGTACTTTGACCATCGCACTCGAGGCAGTCTTGGTGTTGGCTTGTTGACATCCCGAGGGATTCAGTCAGTAACCGCTCTGGTCCAGCAGCCATCACAATATCGCATGAAGTGTCCGACCCGCCCGACATTCGAAGATACTCGATACCAAACTGATATAATATATCCGAATCTTCAGGTCAACCTACTCTCGGAGAAAAATTCTTAGCTGAACTCTTCCTTTGGACAGAGTTTGGACTCTCCTGTATCACCTACCGTCGCGTTGAATCATCGAATTTCTTGAGCGGGTGCCATTAACGCCTCCATTCATCCCTGTTAGGAGCTAGAGTGGTCCATTGGATCGACCTCGCTCGGCGTCAGCAACGGCAATCGGATTGTGTGGTGTTAAGGGTCGCATTTTTCCTAGGTAACTCAGAAATTCAAGGAAAATTCCATTAGCTTTTGATTCCCGTTAAGGCATATCCAGCAGGGTATTGGGGAATATGTACGCTGTACATACCTGCTGGCGATTCGTTTACCATGATAGATGTTCTCCGGACCGGGGGAAAAAGAGCCTCGCGGAAGCAAACTACAATTTCCCCCGCAGGAAACGCCTTATATGGGGAAAACCACGCATGCAATTGTTCAGGATGAGCTATTAGAGTTAGTTGGTGAAAATTCGGGAACCGGTTGAAGACAGTAAAAAGCTCAGAAAGAAGGAATGGTAGTGACTAGCATACCCTCCAGTGGGATGGTAGGGTGGGCGGCATGTGCGCGAGGGCCGTTAAGAGCGCTGAAATTCATGGCTCTATCAGGAGTTCTCCAATATATAAACATTTCAAAACTGAGTTTAACAATAGTCTTTAAAATGAAGGACATAACGATGATGTCAAAGTGGATGGTATATGATAAAAGTTGAGCTTCAGGGTGGTATTAGATTGGTAAGTGGTGAAAAAGCTTCCAGGAGTAAATGTACCAACAGTTAGGGGTGTGAGCACTAGATGCTTACGATCTAGTAGAACATTTTGTATTGATATCCCGT